CGACTTCAGGTCCCGAATAATTTGTCAAGTGAACAAACTTGTTGAGATAACCAACTATGTGAAGATTGTTGTACCCAATTAATGTATGAATTAACACAAACAGCGCGTACACTTAGTGAAAATGTTGATCACATTTGTATTGGTTTCGCCATTTCACATGGGGTTGTTGGAACCAGGTCAAATTCTGTCTGAATCAGTCAATCCTATTCAGATTCCATTTAATGTGAAGTGGTTGAGAATATGATATGTTTTTTGTGAATTATGAAATTTTTTCTGAATGATTTCAGTTTCATTAAAATCAATCATTGATTACTAATATTATACCCTTGGGTTCCGAGTGGAGCAAATGTGCTTTGACGGCACATCTCCACTTTGCCCTATTCTCTGCAGTCTTTCTCAGCTAGTTCCACAATTGCCCATAAGCCTTAATTTGCTCTTCACACGACCTCCTTCAAGTCACCTTCGGACGAACGTCCAACTCGTCGCTTCTCATTCCAGGGCCTGGAGCGTGATGTCACCCAACGGTCCTCTCAGCGTGTGTCCAATCCATCTCCACTTTCTTTGGCGTATTTGTTGGACAATGGGTTCTTGACTGGTGCGTCCTCAGGCTCTCTTGCTGCTTATTCTTTCTGGCCGGCTCTTTGATCTTCAATGTGGAGCCAGGCTATGTCTTCATTTATTGGCAAATATGAAGTTTTTATAGCTTCCAGTTGGCTTTAAGACGTATTTATCTATCCAGTGAATCGATCCCTACGATTTTTTAAAAATCCCTTTGCCTTTCAAATGGAATATAGGACTTCAAGCTACAGCTTTGAAGTTTCGGTAGCAGTTGTGTTTATTTTTACGGGATGCGCTTGCTAGCCTCATGCCCAACATACCCTCTTTACCAGTCTGCTACAAGCTTAGCTAGGTAATGAAGTGCATCAGCCAGGGATCGAACTGCAGTCCACCTGCGTGGTTGGCGAGCATTCTACCGCTGTGCCACTGATGCAAACATTTCTATGATTAATGAATACATTTCGTCTTGACTAATGTACAATTGGAATTATTCCTAAAACAGTCAAGTGTTAGTTTCTAGGGGTTTGGTTAGTTTCAAGTTTGATCAAAGATTGATGCCAGTTAGGAAACCAGCAGGGAGCACTGAATGGATGTTCCGCCCCACTTCAGGACTCTTCATAGTACACACCGATGACCCTACCGAGGATCGATATTAGGAGGTTCAATTTATGAGGCGAACTCGTTGACCGTTGGGCGCTAGGACACGATCTATTGGCCAATGAATGTCAACCTTATCAACTTGTCATTTTAGCGCCACTCCTAGACAATCTTATCTAATTGGTGGACTCCACTGGTCACGACTTCTGACTAGAGCTTCATCATGCAATCAGTTGCTGGAGAGCATAAAATTAATTTCCCAAAAATATATTGTAGGCTGATTCCGTTACCGGTAGTAGCAGTATTAACTGCCCAGTGCTACTAACAATGTAGTCGTATTTTCCAATTAAACATTGTTACGTCTGATAATATTGATGTAACGGGAGAAGATAAGAGACTTGGTAACTGCCCTGCATATTTAAATATTCACAGCCACACTGAAGTTCAGTTAGGTAAGATGAAAATAAAGCGTTCTGGTTGGTCGAAAATTGATGCAAGTTAGTTGTCCAATGAGGTAATTTCATGTTTACAAAGTAAACTAAATCTAGATTTGAGGAATAAACACTTCTACATGTGCAGCCATTGATGTAAAGTATTGATTTCAGTTTCGACCGCTTTCTGTCAATTTGCATAGCGCTGCAGTAACACTTATTACTTCACGCTTCATTGATGATATAAGTTAAGGCTAATAACTCCATTGATCAAGAATATAATTAGTAAAAGTATTTACTTTGACCAGCGCTATACGATCTGCAGTTGTACACCAGATAACAAGAAAGATATTTCATGTTGAATACTAGTATTGAACCAGCCTTACGGAAATTTAACGAGTCAGTACTCAGAATAGGCGGAAGTATACAAGTCTGTTTTGCATTCTAATTGACAAGGCGTACGCTAAAGTAGACTATTGAATTATACTCTGTTGTAGAGTGATTATGCATAGTTCTATGATACTGATTCACAGTTTTGGTATCAGACTGGGATTCGTTTACTGTTATGCATGTTTTGGCTTGGTAAGGAAATTTCAAAGCAAAGCTATCTGAAAATACTTAGTAGGCACGTAAGAATAAATATCCTGTGGTTTCCGTAACTCCCTAATCGGACTCAAAACATATTTGGTTTAAATATAGAAAAAATCCCCATTTAGACATTTAGAAAACAGAAAGATTGAGCGGAGAAATATTTACTTTTCGAGTATCGGTTTTGTAGGGATTTTGTTTGACTGCATGGAGAATTTTATCATGAACTGAAATCGGTTGGAGGATCACTGGAAAACCTGGGCTGTTGTTTTTTCTCTTCATTAGTAAACACCCACTCCACTGGGGGACCGAAACCAGGACCTTCTGGTTACAAGGCGAGCTCGTAGACCATTGCGCCACTGGGACTCAATCCAATGGTCCTTGAATTCTAACTTCGCCAATGCACGACCATTTCGCGCTATTCAGGCAGTTAACCTGGGGTTCTGTGGGAAGCCGTGACCAGTAGGGTGCAGCACGTTGAAGATGAGGCGGTAACTTATCGTAGTAGACACTGCGAAATGAATTGGCAGAAGTTAGAATACAAGGACCATTGGATCGGGTCCCAGTGCCTCAATGGTCTACGAGCTCGCCTTGTTACCAGAGGGTCTTGGTTTCGATCCCCAGTGGAGTGGGTGCCTACTAATGAAGAGTCCCAACTAGACAAACAGTTGTCCAGTACTCCCAGGTTTTCTAGTGGTTCTCTAACTGATGTCAGCACATGATGAAATCCTCTATGCAATTTACTTTTCAATCAGATCAATCAATATATATTAGAGTAGAGCCAAATTCAGGACCTAATTGAAAGGTAAATATTTCTTCGCTCAATCTTTCTGTTTTCTAAATATTTAATTTAACTTAAAAGATGAGCCGCGTCAGTCAAATGTAAATAACATATGCCTTGAGCTAGTTCAGCTTTACTAAATTCTAACCTCAAAATAGATTTGGACGTCTACAATTGAAACTTTATTTTCGAGGAAACTAAGGTCCGCAGTACTCAGTCCTAAAGAGTGATGAATACAGCCTGAGTTGTTTGGGATAACCGTTTTTTTCTCAAGAAATCTAGTTTATTTGTCGAATTGGCAACTTTAAAAGTTCTTATTAGATGGTTGGAGGCAATTGTCAGGAAGTCTTAGGCCAATCAACAAGGCATATCTGCAATCTTGAAGGAACTCATGTCCCTTCTGATATTCGAATCCGCGTCGCCCAGTGCTACTACAGTCAGAGACGTTACCACTCAGCTATTCGGGTTCGCGACTAACCTACTGTAGGACTGTATTGGATACTTTGATTAGACACTAGTAACTAGTGTAATGCGTCTAGTCCTTTGTTTGCTGCAGACTGAATTCTATCAGTCAGAAGGGACATGATTTCCCTCGAGATTGCAGATACACATTGCTGATGAGTGAGCCAAAAAGCATAGTGGACATACTGCAAGTTTGACTAATAGAATTAAGTTGCAGCAAACAACGGACTAGACGTATGACACTAGTTAATATACAATCAAAATTTCAAAAAGTAATTCAGTGTGGGGAACAAGTTTCTTCTGCATGCTAAACGGTCCGCACACTTGAAAAATCGAGCGGGATTATGGAACTTCTCGCCTATCAGTTGCACTAAAGATGGAAGGGTATCACCTACGGACATACTTCATGTAATAATTCTGATGACTCTCCATTAGAAGATCTTAAAATGTGTCATTTGACTGGACTGGTTTCAACATAGAGCCTTGCACAGATGTGCAGCAGTTCGAGTTGCCACACTCCCTCCATGTAGTACACAAACCAAGAGGAGAGTAAAGAGAGATACTAAACAGAAATATGAGGCAAAAAGAATAGTAATATGAAAGAACAATATAGTTTTATTGGATATTATAAATCACAAGGAGTGAATACATCTGCGCTAGTGATCGAGAACGATTTTAAGCCATATCACAATTGCTACCAGTCATTGGTTTTCACCCACCCGAGGACCCGAACCAGGAAGTCGGCATCTTCCTACATGGCTTAAACTAACTGTTGTGGATTTCATTGACTGATGCCATATTTTGGTTTGACCACTGCTAGCTTTTCCAACCTGATCTCATATGTCAGCTAACATTGGCCTTCGAGGAAGGCGATCGATGACTAGGGAGGCATGCCTAACACATGTCCCAACCATCTCGGCCGATTTAACTTCACAACCTCGTTTACTGGTTTCCCCTCCTTACCTAGCATTCAACGTCTAGTCTCAGTATTACTAACCTTGTTATACCACTTAGTACGGGAGACAGAACGCAGATACCTATGATCCAAGACAGCTAGCCGACCTTTTCATATCTTCCACTCTCAATGACCATGTCGTTTCACAGCCAGAAAGGACTGCTGAGCATTGCGCACGCCATTTGTTCGATAGTCGGATAACACGTCTATGTCAGAAGTGACGTAAGTTGGTAAATGCCACACTGACCTTTTGAAATTTCTTCAGCAATCAGCCCGTTTGGACAGATGTAACTAGCCAAATAGGTGAAGTGGTCAATACACTCCACCTCCCTCTCCTTGTCTTTAAACTAGGAGTAAATGATCATCTTACTGCGAAGGACATCAGAGGTTATAGAAAAGGTTTCACTTACTAGCTGTTGACCTTTAACACTTTTCAAATTATGCTTTCTCAGTCAGTAAGGAGCCCATCACCGTCTACGGAATCTTGTTTTAGCTTTAGAAGTACTCTTTGTGCAGTCAACAAAATAAACAGAATATACAAATGAGAATTGAATTGTGTGTGCTTCAGGGGATATATCTAATATTACTCAAGTTTTTTACCCATAGCTTTTGATTAGAACACATTAAAAGAGATCAGAAAAGTATATATTTACTTGATTTCATCAATTAAAATTACAATGAGTGAACCAATCAACTGTACTGTCTGTGTGCATGTCAAATACTGTAAGTTAAGCAAGTCAACTACATATGATTCATCATCACAGTTCACATTCGGGGGAGGATTACTACATGAAGACAGAAAATGAAAAGCATTCAACCTAGTGATCAACTTCATATTATAATATTATTATTTATTTCTTTTTGCCTTGATTAGCTACACGAGCAATAGCAGCTGCAACTGTTGCCTCATCAGCTAGATAATAGTGTTTAATTGGTCTTAAGTTATTGTCAAGCTCGTAAACAAGAGGAATACCTAAAGGACAAAAGGGAAATGTAATTGCAAACAGTCATAACACAAGAGAAAACTAAGTACGTGGCAAACTGTGACAAAAAAAATGAAGACAAGGGAGTAAGTGGTTCAGTGGTAGAACAGACTCGCCAACACCACGAACGTGGGCCAGGGTTTAAGGCCTCGACCGACACACTCTCAAACCTCTCCTAATCAGTACTAGTAGTAGTGAGCCCGGTACAAAACGACGGTTAGGTGTAGGCTGAGCGACCCCATCCCGTAAAAAAAAATAAACATCACTGCTACTGAATTAATGTATGAGTTAAACTTAGGCACTGTGGAAGTAAGTAATTCCATAATAGTTTGTTTATTAGATGTATCACACAGTCAGAGAAACAGTATTATCATTTACTAGATGATGTTTCGAACAAAATTTATTGTTCATAATCATTTCATCAATTATAATCACACGACTTCGAAACTTGAGTTTTATAGTTTTCTTTGTCCTCTCCTATTTGTCGTAGGGAAGTAGAATTTTCCAGATATCTGAGACAGGTGTTGAATCATTCCTGTTACATGTGTTTGCAGTTGATTCGATAAACGAAGCTTCTGTTATCAATCTCTCCTTCCACCCTGTTATATTAGATTTTAAAACTGTCATGTTATCCCATCCTATTATATGGTTGTGTGTAACTGCATGTAGTGCTAAAGATGAACTATTCTCTAATTTCTTATCTTATTGGGGTCAACCAATATAGATTTTGTTAGGTTTTTATGTGGAGAATTTTAACAACGTAGGAATAAAAGTGGCTGGCATTCAAACCCACAAACTCAATGAGAAACAAGCTTTGTCGGTTAAAGGATCCTGTGGAGCCTTTAAAACAAAACAATTCAGTTTACCTAATACCCTGCGTCACGTCAAATACATTGGTCAAACTAGTAGAACAGAGGCAGTCAGACTAGCCGAACATAAAAACCTGGCGAAATATAGATTAGTTGACTCCAATAAGATAAGAAATCTAGAGAATAGTTCATCTTTAGCACTACATGCAGTTACACAAAACCATACAATAGGATGGGAGAGGATGACAGGGTGGAAGGAGAGATTGATAACAGAAGCTTCGTTTATCGAATCAACTGCAAACACATGTAACAGGAATGATTCAACACCTGTCTCAGATATCTGGAAAATTCTACTATCCCTACGACAAATAGGAGAGGACAAAGAAAACTATAAAACTCAAGTTTCGAAGTCGTGTGATTATAATTGATGAAATGATTATGAACAATAAATTTTGTTCGAAACGTCATCCAGTAAATAGTACTGTTTCACTGTGTGATACATCTAATAAACTAACTAATATGGAATCCTCGCAACTGAAACTTCAAGAGTTAAGCTTACAGAACTATGTTCCACTCGGAACACGAATGAATAAAAAACGTTTGATTCATCCGAGTCAATGAAACTGATTCAGTCGTCGATTCCCCGCTGTCTTATAGTTTGTAATTAAGTATTTCATATATCCCATTACTGAGAGTAGTATAACTGAAGTACAGGGACAACATCTAGGATATCTTTTTCCAGACGAAAATGTTTACCGAAGAAAGAGATTATTCAAAGTCAACATAAGCACATCTGCGAACCAGAGCATAAACACGGTCCCAAAGATATAGTTTTGTATCCATTTATTCAGGGATGACGTAGTGGGTTCGTTGTTGGTTTGTATACTGTAAAACGCAAACATTATTTATCCCAAAGCGGTTTTTTAACTGACCCAGTTTCTCTAGCTGACAAATAAATTCATTTACTAGTACAATTATGTCGAAATCATTTCGTGAAAACCTCACAACTTATATCCTGCACACAGTTCAAATATTAAACAATGGACATTTAGGATTAGGCCAACTAACTGTAACAGTGCGTCGGTGGCACAGCGGTTAGGACGCTCACCGACCATGCATATGGTCCGGGGTTCGATCCCCGGCCGACGAACTACTTTACCTCGCTAAGCGAGAAATAATGCTGGTAAAGAGGAAAGGTTGGGCATGGAGCTAGCAAGCTCGTCCTGTAAAATTAAACACTGCTACACAAACTTCAAGCCACTAGAGCTTGAGACCCTATGTTCCCCTGGGAACGTGAAGGAAAAAAAATGTAATGAGGTATTTCCTTAAAAAAACACGATAAAATCAGTGATTTTCAAGAGTTGGTTTGTATGGATTGATTTATTCCAAGTTTGATCACCTGCTAGAAAATCAGTCAAACAACTACTAGAAAACCAGGCAGTGCTAGATAGCTGTTTCGCTCTAGCTTGGCACTTTTCAGTAGTACGAACTCACAACCTTCAGGTTACAAGACTGGAACCTGATCAAATGGCCCATGAATTCCAACGCCTACTAATTTGTGATTTTAGCGCAATAACTAGTCAATGTCATCGGCAAGTATTTGTTCTCACGTTCGATGGTGGGGCGAACATATGAAGAGCCCCAAACTAGGACGAAACGGTTATCCAGTATTTCAGTGGTTCTCTAACTGATGTCAGATCCTGATCAAACTTGAAATGATCACAGACTATTTTTCACTACGGAAAGTATAAGTTACATAATACTTTGTTCAATATTACTTATGGAAAGAAAAACCCATTAGCCAAAACGATGACTTTAGGCCTACCAGAATCAACTTAATAATGATAATAAAACAATCTTATGTCGACGATCTGTTTAAAGGATAAAATGACAAATATAAACAGTACAATTTAACTCACCAGTAGGTATATTGAGTTCTACAATATCTGAGTCAGACACATTATCCAAGTACTTGATAAGAGCCCGTAAACTATTTCCATGAGCAACAATCAGAATACGCTTGCACGACTAAATATACACAACAAAAACACCCAAAAGGAAAAATGAGATTATGTGAAAATGAGAGGCTTAATCAAAATATGAAAGCAAAGAATGCCATCATTGAATGCTGGTTTGAATTCAGTTCACCAGGAATAGATTTTTCATGCATCAAACTAAAAGCTGAGGCACTACCCAGTTACCCAAGGTGAACTAGGTAGGGCGAGACTCGAAACCTTGACCCATTGCCTAAAAACAGGGTACTTAAGACAATGTGTCAAATCTCCATTTCTGAATGCTTAGGTGATGGTGGTTCTGGAGTGGAATGCCCGCCAACTACACCTCACACGGTCCGAGGTTCGATTCGCAGCTGACGCACCCACATAAACCTTGTCTAACCGGAAGTAGACCGGAAAAATAGGGTAAGTTAGGCGTGAGACTAGTAACCCACCTCGTAAAAAATAAAGACTACTGTTAATGAAACTTCAACACCTGAAGCCTTATATTCTACTCAGAACGAAGAGGAATGAAAGAAGAAACTATCCAATATCTACAAGCAACAGATACAGGTGGCACTCAGTTTACTACAAACCAGTCTCTACAACTCCATCGTGCAGTTACCAAAGTATACTTACTCTCCATTCAGTCATATCTTTTTTTAGACAATTCAATGGTGATCTTGAACGTACATACAATTTCAAGAACTTGCTTAAATGAAAAGATCTCCAACCAATGAAGAATGGAACTTGAGGTTAACCAAATGGAAAGCATAATGCATGCTTTTGTAAACTACCACTTTATTGATTGGGGATTTTTACCTGCTGGTGTTAAGGAGAATATATATAGTAGTAGGACAATTATGATAGGAAAGGATCTACTAGCCTTGACTTCATAAAATTCAACTTGAAAATTACGAAATTATTTAATCAGAATAGTTTTGAATGGTAAAAATCTTATTTAAATGCCATTAAACATAACAATAATAGATTAGTATACGAAAAACTTGGAAGAACTTTTGACTTACCTTTATATTCGCAGCAATAGTATCAAACCACAAAGGAAGTACACGTTGTACTGTATCTTTCAAGCATTCTGTGCGTGGTATACATGAACTGTCCAGCAACTGAAAACAGAACATTTTAAAAAATATTACGTAAGCTTTATGTTAATATATGTCTAAAATAAGTGGACAGTACAGCGAAAGTTGGAAATCAAACAGACAATCATTAAACAAAGTCGTTCCAAGAACGTTAGATTTCTGGATGGGTAAGCTGACTGTTGCCCCATGTAGGAACCTGGTACGGCCAATGATGGGGAGACCACGGTCTTTGTCTCAAAATGCTCTCATGTGGCGACGCGTCCATAGCCCCTGCTTGGTAAGTCCTGTTCACTGACTTCACGAAGTGGAATGTTCTTCACAAATATGAAAGGGTGAATTTGAACAACGTCTGGCGCTTAAAACAGACTCGTGGATATGAGAGTCACAAAGAGCAGCTGGAAAACCCTGATTTCAAACCTATGATCTACACAAGCTCCAGAAACCGGACTGATTGAATTGCATTTGAACCTGTTCTGGTCACTAGCAATCATTGAGACGCAGTTACTGACGCTATTCCAATGCCTTGTGAATCAGACATGAAGGCGAAATCTCAGAGGATGGCCCTTTAAGGCAACCACCTCCTTCGACCTCGCCGCCTGGGCAATGCCTCAGCCTAAGCATACACTATCAGATTTTGTGTGGCGCATCTTTTGGTGCCCATAATGTATCAATTTTGTTTTAATAATTATAATAATAACCTGACTGTCGTAACATAAACATAAATTACATTTGTCCACTTCTAATCCACTAATATTTAAATAGTTACTTCTCTAAATGAAGGATAACTAAGACTTCATATAGCTGATTTGCAATCAGCATGGAATGACGTATGTAGTGTTAATATCGAAATTGGTAAAAATATGGAAAACTGTAAACAAAAGTATTTCCATTGCTACTATGTCACAGTTTGAATCCCCACAATGACTAGAAGATGGTAAAATAAAAGCAAATGTGAATTTGTACGGTGGAAAGGTTGTGCAATAAAATATTTCTCTTCCCTCATTTACAATCAAAGCGGAAGAAAAAGGAAGTCAAAATATTCATGCAGCTACGATATATTGGTTGGAGGATTTCATCATGTACTGACATCAGTTAGAGAACCATTCGAAAACCTGGGAGTACTGGACAGCTGTTTCGTCCTAGTTTGAGACTCTTCACACAGTATGCACCACAGGGGTTCTAACCCAGGACCTTTTTTTACCAAGCTAGCGAGCTTTAGACCATTAAGCTACTGGGACCGATCCATATTCAGCCATGAATTCGAACTTCTGCCAATTCACGACATAGCGCGACCACTTCCCAATATCTTCGATGAGTAACTGTTTTCACCTTCGACCCGCTGTACCCTACTGGTCACTAAAACCCCAGGTTACCTGCCTGAATGGACAGTCGCTAATGAGCATCATACCCCGGTGGGTGCATGCTGATGAAGAGTCCCAAACTGGGCCGAAACAGCTGCCCAGTACTCTCAGGTTTTTCAATGGTTCTCTAATTGATGTTAGCTCATGCTGAAATCTTCCAACCAATCAAACAAAATCCCTAAAAACCAATACTTAAAACCTACCATATATGTCTCGGTTGTCAACGAAGTTACTGTTAAAGACGCTACCAAGTCTGGTGATGCAACGTCTGTGACCAAATGAAAAAACTCGGAAAATACACATTATGGCAAATTGTGTATCTTTAACTGAAAATATATTCCTAAAACGTTATTTTAACGAGAAGTGAATCAGTTGTGAGAATATTTAATACATTTTAGATTTCCAAAAAAGACACTGATCAAGATGCCTGTCAGATGGTCGGTCAACTTCTAGACGAATCAAAGGCTTCCTTAAGTTGACTCAGCCAAGATATTTCATTACGCGATATTTATCTCTACAGTTATCACGAGTGGTGACACAGATTTGTAACCGATTCGGTACATCAATCTCATATTTCCCAATTATTTGTCTACAAGTTGAAACAATAATGACAACTGCCGTATCCCAAGGAGTTTTTGTTTAGGTGACTCAGTATAAAAGCAGTAACTACAACAGGGCAAAATGGTAAGAAGCGACACACTAACTTGACTCTGATGGTGAGTTGTGAACATCTGCAGCACGGAGCAGCTGATCTAATGTCCGAATCAACCTTCAAGGAGAAGCCCATTACATGGGCATTACTGTTACACATGGTTAGCACTATAATAATTATTATTTGTTCTTTGTTTTCTGAACGGAAGACAGAGCTTCGGCAGCACATCTCCATTCCATCCTCTCCTCTGCAGTCCCTTTAACTAGCTCAATAACAATCTGCAAGCTTTTTTCTTCACACGATATCCTCCATATTACCCTTGAGTGTTAAACTCGTCGGTCCCCATTCGAGTTCCACTTAGGGGCCTAGCACATGACGTCCTTCAGCAGCCTTCTCAGAATGTGTCCCACCCATCTTCATTTTTTTCAGAGTATTTATTGGGCAATAGGTTTTTATTTGATTTTTAGCCAGAGTTGCATTTTGCTTATCCTTCCTGGCCTTCTGATCGGAAACATGTACTATGAACATTAAGTTCCGTAGTGCATCTTCCCTTTGGAATTAGAATTTGACACAAAATGAAGTTCTGGGCAATAATTTTTGCTGAATGCGTCAGTTGTTCAGTGGTAGAGTGCTGGCCGACCATGCACATGGTCCGGGGTTCGAGTCCCGGCCGGTGCGCTCTTTACCTTCCTTAGCCGGTTATAATCCGGACAAAGAGAGGAGGTTGAGCGTGAGGCTATCAACCCCACCTCGCAAAATATACGATTGCTACTGAAACTTCAAAACGAAAGCTTGAGGCCCTATGTTCCACTGGAAACACAAAGGAATAAAAAAGTTTTTGGCTAAATACGACAAAAGTATACGGAAGGAGAATAAATTTGGCCACCTCTAAAGACAGTTACTAAGTCAAATCTTAGACAACATAATAAAGCAACTAAGTAATTTATATCCTGGATTTCCTTAAACTACAAAGCTTAACTTTGATGGATAATGTTGACTATATTTGTTCAAACAGACAAACTTACTGCATACTTTGCTTCGTTCCCTGGGAAGCGAGGATCTTCAAGGTCAACTGGAGGCGGGGGGATGTCGTATGCTCGTCTCCATATTTTAACTTGTTCTTCTCCATGTTTAGCTGCAGTTTCTGATTTATTCAATCCTTGAAGAGCACCATACATCCGCTCATTTAAACGCCAAGTCCTAGAATAAAGAAAGGTATAAAATATAATTTAGTAAGCAATATTAAATGCAATATATCCAAACAGAACACAACTTGCTCGCTTATAGAAAGTATAAGGCTGTTTTCTTGGAAATTACGAGGACGTTTAGCTAAGAACACAGAACACTGCTCAAATAATTGCTACTGAGAACAATACCGTAGAGCAAAGCAATATTACCGAAGTAAATGGTGCATGTGACAGTTCGTATAAACAACTGGGATAGATGAAAAAAACATTAATTTTCTGTTTTCCTTCTGATGATCATGAACACTGGAAGCCAAGATGGAAAAATGATATATCCCAAAATTCAGACTTCTCCTGTACAGAAACCTAATTTATCTATTATTCTTGAAAATATTAGGGAGACGTACAGAATACAGGATTGCTTAAAAGTGGAGAAATTGCAATTCACTGGAATTTTTTATTAGGATAAGATGTGAGATCCACGTAACTCCCTACTTATCCAGAACTAATGTCAAATATGAATATTGAATTCAAACGTTATACCGCAATAGGGATTCCGGGTAATCCTCCTCACAGATGTCCAAGAAAAACTGCAGAACTATACAACAGTATCTTTAACCGCTTATGGATGTACAGATATGTCAAGAAAGAGCCTCTATTTTTGGACCATTTCGATTTACTCGATATAATATACCCTGTGACATTGTTAGGGAGATATTTTAAAACTTCGTTCTAAACTTTAAATAAGCAGTCAAGTTTTTCCATTACGGGTAATGGGAATGGAATGATAATGGTAATCGAATTACACTCTACCACAGTGCACAAGTTTTATTCTTATATCAGTCAAGTTTTTCTTTATAATTCCACATCAATCATCATATGTTCAAATCATTTCTGTAAGGAAGCTGCATATCTAAGATGCAATCGAATTTCCAGCTTAGAATAGTAGAATATATTAGAAAGAAATCTATACATATTATTTTTTTTTAACATACTTTGAGACGGGAATCCAATTCAGATCAAGTTCATCTAGAACAAAGTTCAACGTCTTAATTGCTCTTTTCAGAACACTTGTATAGGCAATATCAAAAGTGAATTGATTTTGACGAAGAAGTTGACCAGCTTGTTTAGCTTCATTCACGCCTTGAACTGAAAGATCTGCATCATGCCAACCACAGAATCTATTCTCTTCATTGTAAACACTTTCACCATGACGAATAAACACAATTTTGTACGGAGCCATGTAATTTTCTTTATCTGAAAGAAAAGTTTAGCCAAACAAATTGATCGATGTGCTAAAATGTGTGAGAAATTAAAATAACTTACCTGCACCACCTAAAATAACAATTCGTGACAAACATAATAAAGAAAACACTCAGCAGGCGACATTTGTTAGGAAAATAAATCCTTGATTACCTGTGTGAAATCAGTGACTGATTCATACAGTAATGGAAAGCAATCCAAGCAAATACGTATATTCGGTAATTTCTTATTACGCTTTCAATGACCGAGTTTTCAGAGTAACACACTATACACAAGTGCAGAAGTTCAAGTTGTTACACTCCATGCCAAATATAGAGGCAGGGCGTGAAACGGAAGAAACTACAATGAACGAACCACAGAGATACGAATGAAGTGGACATATGCAGCTGACAAAAATATTCGGCTCGTTAACCAAAGGTAAAAATCATAATCATCAGTGACGAAAACCTGACGCCTAATAAATACACAGCGAACTACGGAAGTACTCGTGTTAAGTAGGCAGGCACAATTTGAGAAGCAAGCGCATATGCCGTTGATGTTAAGTGTAAATAGGGGTCCAATGACACTACCTTGTACTAAACCAGAAGTGATTGGACTATGTTCGGAAGTTACAGACCTCAGTTAAACTATTTAGGACCTGTTGTTAAGGAATGATTTAAGCCATCCTAATAATGGGTCACGTATTCCTAAGGAGTTCAGCTTATGTATTAACAGTAAATGGTCGGCACGGTCAAATGCCTTAGAAATGTCAAAGTAGATGACAAGTACTAGTTGCCGTCTGTCACAACTACTGGTCACAAAATTAAAGCAGTTTAGGTGGCATGTTAAACAATATCTGGATTTTAGGAATCCATGTTGGTTCGGACTCACAATGTTGCAGCTAAGCATATGTTTGAGTAGGTTATCTTAAACTAGTCTCTCCATAATTCTAGATGCGATAGGTGTGATACTGATCGGCCGTGGTTGTTGACTTGTTTCCGAGCAGATTTGTGTTTAGGCATAATAAATGTTGGTTTCCACATATCAGAGTAAGTTTGAGCTTCTAAGGACATTGTGAATAATTTAAGTAGTAGTAAAGGAATGTCAGGCCCACTATATTTATAAATATAGGATAATATACCGACAGTACGAAAACCTTTTGAGATTTGAGGGTTCTTATAGTTTGGTTAATATTAGCATAAGTGAATTCAACAGTACTAATTTGGTTTGGTGTGAGTGGAGATGGAGTTTGTGCCATATTAGTAACAGGGTGTACATCGAGTAGCTGGACTGAGGACTTAAGGTAGTTACCTGCAAAAGTTTTGTTGAATAGTTCACGTATGTCTGCAGAGTTAGTGCATAGCCTACCTTTGTCTACGAGGAGAGAAGTGCTGTGGTTTTTGCGGTTCATTCGCTTCTCCAAGATTTCTGTGAGTCAATACACTCTAGCAGGACTGGCTACTGCGGTGCGTTCTTCGTCTCTCATACGCAAATCCCGAGCTCGTGAGATGGAGCTGAGGGTGTCAAGTGATCAACTTAGTGTGCCAAAGTCGTGGTTTGAAGTAACTTGTCAAGAGACTCTCCAGTTTTGTACAATCCTTTTGTAATATAAATGGCTTTCTGCGTGAGGAAACGGTTGGTGTTCCAAGTGGGGTGGCAGCATGTAAGCATATGCTTGATTTTTGGTAGAGGATGCTTGAGGCGCGCGAGAGGTCACCAGCAGTGAAGTATTCGCCTCATTCAGAGGAACTTAGCATTTATTCTGCGAAAGTCCAGTTTGTCTTGCTAAAGTTCCTCTAAGTTATTTGTTGTAAAGTGAAAGCATGAGGTGGATTCCCATTCCGTAAAAGTGGAAGTGAACAGAAAATTGCTATGTGGTCGCCATATGAGAAGATAGAACTCGCTAAAACTGAAAGAAGAGTAGACTGTCACCGATTGTGCGGAAAGCGATACAGGGTTTCCAGGCGAAAATGTACAGATCAAATACTAAACTCATAATAAAAATATTAAGCATCGACATTTGATATCAGCTTGAATAATGGAATCAAAGTCGACATTACGAACCAGTAGGGTGATCAGACAAGAGTTGGAAGCAAACTTGCACAAATTCCACATATCACACCAGAGCAACCAAACAACACCCTTTAGTGACTGATAATTCAACCTAATGTGGCACTCTGAACAAAATGCAGGACTCTGTCACCACACTTCGAGAAACCACACGGAAAAAAGCGATTGTGGAAATAATGACACGATAGAGAAACTTGACTGTGTGAAAAAAACTCAGTGATATTCAAAAATTCGACAGATTCAACCGAACAACTCTTTCAATGATGAACGCACGTTAAAAGTGCCAATATTTAGTCAGTTCTGATCTTAATTTTTGTCTTCTGAAAACGTTACTATTGTTAATTTCACTAAACTACCCGCAGCAAGTCATTCATCTAACAGCCTAAGAGCCACAATAATCATTCAAGCCTTAGGTAAGAAGTGGGACAAACCTGTAAGCTCAAGAACTAAATCCAAGCGTATGGGCCGACAAAATACGTCCCTAGGAAAGAGCCATCTTCACTTAGGATCATTCTGTTTGCAAATCAATCCCCGATCCAGTAGTTTAGAAATAACTATCACCTTCAAGCGACAGGTGACCTTCCAAACAACAAAGACACGAACAGCTACGTCGGCTGGCAGAAACGTTTCTAGAGGTCTTGCTTTGCTAGAAAGGTCGTCTAGATAGACATTTGACTAAAAGCAACTGCTTTCATACTACAAATCGTTTGTACTGTTGGGGATCTGACGGTGAAATGCCACTGGAGAATAAGGTCATATTAACAGTAAGGAGTTTCCTGCAGACTACCAGCAAGCTAGCCATACTGCCTGTCCACTATGTAGAGAAAGGTTGAAAAATCCCCAGCAGTTGTACGTCTAGACTCCCCCTGCTGCGATCAGTAGCCAACAATGCCTTATAACTGCAACTCATAACAGGACATGTGTGACTGTCCTAGACCACTTGTTCCTCAAAATCTGAAACACCAATTATTAATTCGCTTTATGTCCCGGGTGTTCCGCAAAGAAGTAAAATTCTGCAGTGGACAATTGAGGTGACAACCACCTCAACACCCACACAATACAGCTTTGCGAATCACCACTCGCTGTCATCTCTAACGTCTTAACAAAGTTGAATAAGAGAGTTGCTTTGTGACATTGGAAAACATCAGTAGTTGACCCCATTCCAAACGGGATATCCTCATAGGCCCTTGTAGCGACAAAACTTCAGGCCCTGACTTAAATAATCTGACCAACTCTCCACCCATTTGCAGGTGTCGAAAAGCACACCATAATAAGTATTTAGCACCTGTTACACTCACTGGGCTTAAGGTGACACTTGACTCTATCGAGGCGGGTATAGGAGACGTTTATCGCTGACCAAGGTACCTTACTCTTACTACGAAAGTAGTATGACACGCCAAACATTCCTGCCAAAAACATTGCATTCTTCAGACAAACTATGATAGGTAGCATCAGGTGATGTGGCGGTGTACATCAAAAGCATCTTAAAACCGAAATTCACTGTACCCTAGAGTTGCTAATATTCAACCAACAACACAACTTTCCCGAATTCACAGACCATAACCCGCTTTTACGGGGGAACATAAACGGCCAATTCACTCGTAAAATTAGTAATCCCGATTTCATACACGTCATATTGTTTATTCATTTTGATGTGCTATCTTCATGACAGTCTTTGCCGTTACTTGCATTCTCCTGGTTTCATCATTTTATTTAAACCACGAATACAGTCAAAACATTTTTAACATAAACTGAACAAGTAACAAATTCAACTTCAACTGTGCCAACACCAACGAGGCTTACACATGTTGACAGTCGCCCGGAGTACAAGAAAACCACTCACGTACACAAAGTCAACCAAATTAAATCCGCGTAATTATATCATCAACTGACTGACCTAAACAAGGGGTATTCCAATGTCACAATATATTATGCGTCCGAATTTTGTAGTACGTATGCAATATATAGATGTATTATTTTTTTACTCCTGTTTCTGTTGCACGCAAAAAGTTTTATATGCAAATGAAATCAGAGTGCTTTCCATAATCCCGAAAGACACCGAAGGAATGAACTGAATTAGTTAGGATGATTGTTCTTTTTCATACTTTGTCCCAATTTATGTCTCATAGAGACAGCATCTATTCTAATAGAGTTAAAACTCCAGTGAGTGACTTGAATTCTCAATGTATCGGGAATTTCCTACCAACTAATGCGATATTTGTTAGCTTTGGGACAATTACCACATTCATCTAGTTGGCTGAAATTATCCGTCACTTATCAAGGTCATTGGTGGAGTGAGGCGCTCGAAGGTCATTTTCGTCCATTTTAGTCGGCCATGTTGGATCGCAGTTCCGTAGCTGTTCGTTAACGCGTTTGTTGTTCCGTTTATCCTGCCGTTATACACGACTTATCTTGTTGCGTATCGTTCACAAATGTTGCGTTTCACCTCATTTTTTGTTTCCGTTGCTGTTAAAATGAATTATTTCTTTGGTTTCGAAAGTTTTCACTACCAGGCCAGTGCATTCATTTCGGTGTAATTGTTTTCATACCTTGCATTCATGCGGCTTTGAGTGTTTTAGTTGGTTTTCAGCTGTTAATGAATTAGTACTGTGTAGAGGGTTTTGAAATTGTGCACATGAAGATGTTTGGCTGTCAGAAGCAGTTGTTTCCAGTCCATTAGTTGGTTGCCGTTACAATTGTTGGCTCAGTTACTTGCATAACATGTAGAAATCTGGAAAAAGAGTGTCTTTTTCGTTCATGTTTGCAGCATACAACAATCTGCGAGTGAATCTGTTGAAGAGAGCACCATCAGAGTTGGTATTAGCAAGGTTTTCGAAGAACAAATTAAACCCAGAGAATTTAGAACCTGGGTTGAAGTTGAAAAAGCTTTGAAGATTTTTGAGAATGTGAATATACCATCCGTGTGTCTGCTATCATTTAAAAAAATATATTGTGAGAGAATCTAAGCCAAATAAGGTTGAGCCGCATGAAAAGTATGAATCTGTTGTGCTTGTGTATATTTTGGGGGAACTAAAAGAACCTGGAATCCTTAAGGGTAAGTGTTACTTATGCTTATTATTGCTTGATGTACTAGATCGCAATAAATGAACTAGGACTACCCGTAATAGAGCCAGTGTTAACATCCATTCGATGGGTTGCAAAACGGTTTTCAAAGCGGATAAAATACGGTGATCTGGTGAGTGTTCAAACAATCCCAGTTAAAGGTAAGACATTAATTAGGAAGAATAACGTTTCGGGTTGTAGTCTACGATTGATGGTTTCCTCGAAGTTGTGATTCTTCCGTGACTATAGACACAGATGTTCACGATCTTAAAAAAAACTAAATAAATTATCCTTGAACCAGTAGTCTTCTTTTCTTCGGCGAAACATCCGTTAATACGACTATACGATTAGGTAGCGAAGTAAGATGTTATGTGACTGAGAATCGTGGTTGTTGTGTTTCTGACTAATTTCGCACATCTGACTTATAACCGCATGGAGATAGCGTTTTCCTCATGGTACATTATGATATCTAGAAATCATAAGCACGCTGCCATCGGTAAATTTATTTTTACTTTTTAAATGGCTGCAAATAGTGAGTCGTTTGCGGTGATAGGATGAATACCTCTGAACGTTTTTGTGGAGACTAGGGTATATTTAATTTTTTCGAGTAAGGGACGATCTTTTTACCAAGAAAGTTCTCGGAATTTTCGTTATTCAAAGATAACGCTAAGTTGCCCACTAAGGTAGTAACTATAGGAGATAACCTTCAGCGGAAACTATATTAATGTAGTTTTAGGTAATGCGTCATAGAAGTCAGCATCGTAGGTTAATTGTGTCTAAATGTATTAAACGTTGTATAACTGATCAAACCATAGTTCTTACGTGCGAGTTAGTTTTATAAATAATGAATGTACCGTACAAGCGTCTACCATGATTTGCATACCTAGCTCATAAACATTATGCCTGCATGTGGCATACATTTAGGGCCAACACGCTGCGATGAATCAGTCCGAGATACTTAAAGTCAGACTTCATTTCCATATCACTATTATCAATTTTGCAACGGTCATAGGAATTAACACCTTCAACTAACTTTCGTTTACATCGGAAACTGAAAATAACAGTCTGACATTTCGAAGGATTTAGTTTAAGAGCATTTTCCCACTCCTAATAGAGAGCTGTTCATCTTAGTACAGTGTAGCTGGCAGTTAACAGACATTGAAGTAGTTAGATCGTCCGCGTGTTTGAAAAAGTTCTTCTCGTATGCATTCGTACAATAAGTTCATCAAACAAAAATACAATTGGTAATGGACGACTTCCCCCTGACCTACAGTGTACTGCTTTCTCCCTGATAAATAAGAATGAAGCCATCTAACAATCCAATACTCAGTTTGAGTTTCAGCAAGCTTATCTAACAGAATATCTCTAGGTAGTGAGTCGAAAGCAGATGTGTACTCTAGGAAGGTGCAGCGAATTTAGCCCCATTGTCTATACTGGAGAAAATGTTGTGAAGCAAGACTGCAGCTGCATCTAAAGTACGTCTACTGTGTTTATAGGAGAACTGTTTGGGATCGTTAAAGGCTCTGAGTGAGGGTTAAAGATTAAGTAAGAGTAACTTTCCCTTAGTTCGTATATACCTCATTTGATTTGAAACAAAGGAAGCAGGTCTTATTAACGCTTGTAACACTAGAAAGTTTGGCATTTATGGGAGAATTTATGAAAGACTTGTTTAGTTTACACACACCAAATGAATAGGAAATACTGGAGGTAATTACATGCATACAGGCGTAGGTTATTTAACATCTATAAAGTAGACATGCAAATACCGCAGTTTTTGATCACAGAAATGATGGATACTAGATAACATCCTATGATTCAACGGCATATTAAAATAAATAAAAAATGTTTCTTAGCTGATCGTCAAGTGAACAGTCTATTTGATGATGTCACTGCATATTAACGGATTAGTGAAGTAGATATCAAGCCTAAGTTACTACATTTACTTGTACTACATACTTGGCGTTTAACAGTAAACAGACTTTCAACTGGTTAGATAAGGCGACTTTAGAGTATCCAACAGTACAGAATTATTATTCAACTTGCTAAATCCCACTTAGCTTTTACAATGTGCTATTGTGTAGAAACAGACACGAAATCCTACTAATGACTAAAGTAACATTCTCATAATACTACAGTGAATTTCCATCCCACTAACTAAGCTTAGCGTTTATTATTCCTAATTCACTTATTACAAAAGCACATTGTATAGCGAGGAATTGAAGAAGTCTACAGGAAGAAGTAATCAAGAGTATATTAAACATTTGATTAATTTACAAAAGAAAATTCTGATGAAGGGTAATAAAGTTAGTTTGACCGAATGATGTTTCCGCTGATTTCATATTCGACAACCTCCGTATACCTGGAAAAAATAAAGTACATGTTAGAACTAGCATAACATGAAGTTAACAAGAGATAATTCTACATATTAGCATACAATATGAATACAATCATTCTGTTAAAACTAAGTATTATCTCAGGGAGATAAATGTATTTGTAGTCTACAGCTGATATTTATGTTGACGCCGTATACATAAATATACATCATATGTTTTCCTGCATTTGAGGACTATATGCAAATTTCAAGGCAATCTCCGAAACATTCATACTATTGAGGCGTCATTCTCTCATCAAGCTTACTTGCAGATCAACTTCACACTAAACACTTTTACATGAAATGAAGTATTGCAAGTGTATAACTTAGAAGTTAATCCACAATCTCAGTAATGTCTAGTCCACAAGGTTTTGTGAATCCTACAGAAATCACATTTTCACATTTAGGAGACTATAGGCATCAAATATAAGCTGAACATGCCTCAACTCTAGACAGCTATGCACAGTGCTAACAACATAGTGAAACACTTCAACTATTGTAAAGTACACAGACCTGTTGTGTTGATGAGGATAATAATGTCATATAATGCAAACTAGAAAATTCAATCGTCATAGAGCATCTGTACTGCTTTGTCTAAATGGAAATCTCAGGAGAAATTCATCTCCACTATTGGTGATCAAAAATATTGTAGCATTAAGTATACAGTCAGTGGAAATTGTAAAAGAGAATAAATTCATATTAATGATAATAAAGCTGAATAGATTCAGTTCTAGTAACCACCTTCGTTTGTTATCCTATCAGTCAGCTTAGTACACAATGGCACAATATTATTATAGTTGAGATATTTTTGTACATTTAATTAACATAACCCATAGCACACTGCACCAACCAGTGCCAATATATATGAAATCCATTTAGAGATAACCTTTCAACTTACCATAATTCCTGTCCAACCACAGATAAAGTGAAAAGCACATCTAAATGACAACTTAGGTTCCCACCAACGATTCTGATAACATTTGCAGGTGATTTCCAAGTATTGAGAGAATTATTTTGTCAAAAAAGACTGTTCTTCACACGAAAATAGGCTGTACTGATATCCTGAGACATGAAGTCTTCATTGAATGATACTATGCCGAAAGATGCAGCTTCTACATGGAGTAAATGAGTGGTGTAAATGGCATTACCCTCTAACTATCCTATCTCCCTCATTACACCGACATTTTGATACATTCCATCTGAAACACTAATCATTGCAACCAATATGCTAAAAGTGTGTCGCAGTCAGATCACATGAGGCGGACACCAACATAACCAGCCAAAAAGTGGGAATTTCCCTCAATCTAGATAACATATAATACAATTTTATTAAAAATTATTGGCAAAAAAAATTCCAAACGTAACTTCTAGAGTACGTGACGAATAAGTCCAGCCCATCTAGTTAGCTGTGCATTCGTAATCATATACAATTTTTTTTGCATATCTGTGTACGTTCATTTTTCCAAAAGAGAGTAAAAGTCAGTTCTGAATGCTGTTTCCATCACCAATATATTTCAAATTGTAACTAGGTGGCTAAGATTAGTGAGTTAGACTGAAGTTGCGTAGTACGGAAAACATTCAGAAGAATCTCCACATCAATGAGAGAGTATTGGATCAAATATCGAAATGTATACCCTAGCAGTTGAACACAGTGAATTAAAGGTTATTTGAGAAAACTACACCACTAAATGTCGAATAAAAATGTCGGAAAATCTAATAATTATGTAGTTGGTGAAGAGGGTGAACGAAATATTAATTAAAACGATGTTAACGAGTGTAGTGTACACGCAAACAAAATTAATTATGTGTAGTTTCAACCGTACAGTTGAGTCAGTGAACTCACCGGAGA